CTCCTCTAATTAAGAGATTTTTCTTTATGCTTTTCAGAACATTTCAGAATCTCAGAGGTCAGAAGAAGATAAACCAGCATCTGTTGAACATCTGGTGTCCTTCGTAACCAGGACCTTGGTATATCAGAGAAGAGCCAGTAGCCAGGCACACAGTGTCTCAGTGGCATCCTCCTCCCACATCCCGTCACTCATGTGAATAAAGCAGAGCTCACCAGGTGTACTGGTGGGGTTTGTGTTGTGCGTGTGCATGGGGCACATGGGCTGCACACCCATGGTGGCACATAATGCTTCCCTGTGACACCATCTCTATTTCTAGCTGGAAAATAGTGGGCAGCAGATTTCCTTTAAGTCTAGGTGAGAGTTCTGCCTTTGCCTTTCTCGGCTTTACACGTGCACTTTTGGTCCTCGTGTCCTTTTTGAGAAGGGGGACTGTGGTCAGAGTCAGTGGGGGAGGGCAGGGAAAAACGTCCTCCTCCTTTGCTCCTGTGAAGCTTTCTGAACAGAATCCTCTACTGCCCACGCCACCTGGATGGTAAAAACCTCTGTCTGCTGTCAGGAGACCTTCAGAGGCCGGCCCTGAACTGTTTTTCCCTGTATTGGCTCCACCTTGATCCTTGTCAAGAGATATGCTGCTCCTCTCACAGAGCCTCAGGACATCTCTGTGGGACTCTGGAAGGGTGGCATGGGGTGCAGGTGAAGGCTGTCTTTAGGGACACGTGCCTCTCCTCTCCCTCTTCCTTGCATTCCTTTCCCCACCCTCCCAAAGTGGGTGCATTTGCCCTTGAACTAACTTACACTAAGGAAATAGAGAATGGCAAGGGTCTGCATTCCCTGAGTACCAGGACAGTGGTTTGCTTACAGGAAAAGTAAACCAACAGGTACCTAAAGTTGTGGGACTTGTTTTCTAAAAGTCAAACTCAGACCCTGAGCATTTGGGCAGGAAAGTTATTTCAGAGGTTGGGAGTGTGTGTGTGTGTGTGTGTGTGTGTGTGTGTGTGTGTGTGTGTTTTCCCATGGCAACACAAGAAACTTCTGTCCTGGTGCATGGGGGCAGGCAGTAGAGATCTAGGTGCAACTTAGAGGTTTCTTATCTCTGCTGGCCTCAAATTTGCTTCCATCTATTAAGGCAGGTCACAGTCTTGCTGTATGTGGTTTGGGGACAGGGTTAGAGCCTCCACAGGTGGGTGTGAGTGGAAGGGCACTTGCAGTGGGGCTTGTCAAGGTTTTCTTGATGTGGGAAGGGCAGGCCCTCATATAAATCCAGCAGCCTTGAGCTCAAAAATCTTCAAAAATCCTCCTGCTTTCTCTGAAATCTTCATGGCTACTTGGCATTTTATGTCCTTACATATTAATGATTAATATTAAAATAGTATTTAAAACTACTTCTTGTCAAGGGCAAAAAATCTAATAAACAAGTTCTCACAATTTTTTTTTGGTCCTATGTAATTTCTGGCTGCAGATATCAGTTAGAGAAGCACAGATCTAGAAAATAATCAGTAGAGTCAACCCCAGGTATCTCCCTTTGGGTTCCCTGTATGAGAACCTTCTGGACTTCTGGAGAATGTTCTTGCTCCAAGGGATGATGTCACTGCAAGGAACCTCCCTGCTTTTTCACCCTCATCTGGAACTCTCTACCCCTACATGTGTCATGGGAAGCCCAGGCATTGTGCTCAGTGATGAAGAAACAATCTGTTGAAATGGGTCCGTGAAAACAGTTATAGAGAGTTTTAAGGTCTTACTGCCAGAAGAATTTTTCTGTTGGACTTCACGATGCCCACAATGCCTAGGACGGAGAGGCAGAAGAGGCAGATGCCCACAAACATGCCGATCCAGGCAGCTCCATAGATGTCATCATTGTTGGTGGCTTCCAGCAGGGGGTAGAGGCTGTGTTGATCAGATACAAAGAAGATGCACTCTGCAGTCAGGGCGATGCCACACATCTGGGAGCAAGCCAAGAGTGGGTGGTGTCAGGCAGGTGGCCAGGAGCACAGCATTGGAAAGGGAATGGAGGTGGGAGTGGGTGAGACAGACTGACTCCCTCCCCTGCACAGTTTTTATGCAACTGACTTCAACTCCTCATTACCAGGAAATCAAACAGCTAGTTCCATCCTGCTCCTTCCTTTCATATACAGTCTCCCTTGGATACTACTTTCTTTCACATGTCTCTTGGTCTTATTCCTATTTGGGAAAATACCTAGATAATTTTAGAAAAACAATCTGACACGGCTTCTATTTTTTTTTTTTTTATTGTTAGGGATGAATCCAGGACTTCATGCATGCTAGGCAACTGCTCTACCACCAAGCAACATTCCAGCCCTAGATGGTGCCCTTTTTTTAAAAAAAAATTATTTATTTATTTTTATTTGGACACAACACCTTTATTTAATTTATTTATCTATTTTTTTGTTTTTATGTGGTGCTGAGGATTGAACCCAGTGCCTTGCACGTGCTAGGTGAACGCTCTACCGCTGAGCCACAGCCTCAGCCCTAGATGGTGCCTTTTTTGTATGAAGGTTACCACTCACCCCCAGCCTTCCCACACTGCCTTATTGCCCACATTGCTGTATTGTAATATTTGAAGTGGTTCTGATCATACTTATCAGTGAGAGCTAGAATCTTGGCTAGAAGCTTATCCCATGGCCTGTATTTCACGGATGAGACATCTTGGCCCTGAAAGGTGATGACTTGTCCAGGGTTACACATTAAGTCAGAGGCAGAGCTGGTCCAAGAACCAGGTCTCTTGACTCCCAAACAAGTGCTCTCCCTTGTACCCACACAGCTTGACCTAGAAGACATTCCCACATCCGGATATTGGCTTCTGTGTAGGAGAACAAGAAGATGCAGATATTTGCCCTAATAGCCTTAGTAACAGATTCCCAAAATCAGACCAAGATGAAATCCGAAAGAAGCACTGAAGTGCATGTGTGGTAGGTATGTTTGGATACTGGCTGTGGTGGTGGATGTGACTTCTTTTAGATTTTTATGCTTTAAAGTTGAAAGCAAAAGTCATTATTTTCATTTTATATCTTTCTTTTGATTAATCTAAACTCATGCTTACAGGAAGAGCAGACTTTTCTGAAAATTCTCATTACTTACACCAACAATCACATTTCCAAAAATCAGCAGGCCCTGGAAGCAACGGACAGTGGAATCATCCTTGGCCATCTTCAGGATTTCTCACAAGCTGAAGACACAGTTGAGAATGTTATGCTTTAGTAGGAGCAGATAAATACTGCTGTAGTATCTATAACATGACTACATCATGACATTGTGTATTGCCTTTTTGTGTCCCAA